CTCATTCCCTCAACTTATCAAGCGCTCTTTCTTCATCATCTATTCATCTCATGAAAATTTAAATCAAATCATTCCTTATTTTGATCTCACAATCCTAAACCACTTAAGGTAATTTGCTACCCTTCTTCTATTGTTTTTTTTTTTTTTTTTTTGTTGAATTTCAACTAAATTTTTTAAATTTATTCGTAATTATACTTGCAGAGTTGCAGTATGTCGCGAGTCTCACGCAAAGGGGGGGTTGAAGCTAATAATGTTGAAGCTAATAATGCTGAAAGTAATGTTGATGTTGAAGTTACTTCAAACAACAAACCAAAGACAGAAAAGGGTAAGAGGGAGAGGATGAAAGACAGATCTGGGGTTTGGGATCACTTCGACAAAGAGGAAACGAGTAAGGGGCTAAAGGCAGTCTGCAAGTATTGCAAGACGGCGTATAATTGTGACCCTAAAAAGAATGGAACCAGCCCTTTGTGGGCTCATATCTCCAAATGTCGTAAGTATCCCTATGCTACTCCAAAAGAATCCAAGCAAAGCTTACTTTCTTTTCAAAATGGTAGTAATAAAGCATGTGGAGGTATTAGTGGTTTGACTTATCAGAAATTTGACCCTGTTAGCATTAGAAAAACACTATCTTTTATGGTAATTGTTGATGAACTGCCTTTCAAGTTTGTTGAGGGTCAAGGTTTTAAGTATTTCTGTAGTGTTATGGAACCTAGGTTTCATGTACCTTCTAGACAAACTGTAGCAAGGGACTGTTATAAGATGTTCTTGACAGAAAAAAGAAAGCTAAAAAATGTCCTAAAACGATGCAATTCTAGGGTCTCTTTAACAACAGATTTGTGGACTTCTATTCAACAAATCAATTATATGGTTTTGACTGTTCATTTTATCGATAATGACTGGAAACTTCAAAAAAGAATTCTGAGTTTTTGTACTGTTGCAAGTCACAAAGGTGAAGAAGTGGGTAAAATGATAGAGAAGTGTTTGCTTGAGTGGGAGCTTGAAGATGTTTTTTGCATAACTGTTGATAATGCGAGTTCAAATGACACTGTTATAGCTTATATGAAAAGAAAAATCAATGGTTGGAAGACAGGGGTTCTTAAATGTCGTTTCCTTCATATGCGTTGTGTAGCTCATATTGTTAATTTAGTTGTTGGTGATGGTTTGAAATGTGTTCATGATTCAATTATTCGGGTTAGACATGCTGTTAGGTTCATTAAGCAGTCTCCTGCTCGCTTGTTGAAGTTTAAAAAATGTGTTGCTGATGAAAAAATAAATAGCAAGAAATTGTTGTGTCTTGATGTGCCGACTAGGTGGAACTCTACATATCTTATGTTACATGCTGCCCTTGCTTTAGAGAATGCTTTAGATAGATATTCAGAGGAGGATCCCCATTACAATGTAGAATTATATGACCGGGAAGGAAATGGACCCCCTACATGTGATGATTGGGCTATTGTTAAGAGGTTTTCTGAATTTTTACAATGTTTTTATGAGCTGACTTTGCGTGTTTCTGGTTCTGCATATGTTACTTCCAATCAATTTTTTCATGAGCTTATTAATGTTGCTGGACTTTTGAAAGAGTTGTGTGCATCTAGGGATGAAAATATGAGTTTGATGGCTTGTAAAATGAGGGAGAAATATGAAAAATATTGGGGGGATCCAGAAAAGATAAACTTGTTGATTTTTATTGCTGTTGTTCTTGATCCTCGCTATAAACTTGATTATGTTGAGTGGATGATCAGTGAGATTTATGATTCCAAGGTTGGTTTTGTACTCAAAAAAAATTCGAGGGAATCTCTATATGCATTGTATGATGAGTATCGTGTTTTACCAACAACCGATACACCTAGAGAGGACTCAAGTGAGAGTAGGGATGATGCTCCCTTAAATGCTACTCAAAAGAAAGTTGATGTTTTGAAAAACAAGTATAAGAAACAAAGGGGGGAGAGAGGAGGAGAAATAAAGTTAGAGTTGGACAAGTATTTGGAAGAAGAAGTAGAGGAAGACTTTGATAACTTTGATGTTTTGGGATGGTGGAGGTTTCATTGCTCTAGATTTCCTACAATGGCAAAACTGGCTCGTGATGTCTTAGCTTGTCAAGTCTCAACAGTAGCTTCTGAGAGTGCATTTAGCACTGGTGGACGGATTCTTGATCCATTTAGGAGTTCCCTTTCTCCTAGAGTTGTTGAGAGTCTTGTTTGTTCTCAAAATTGGTTGCGTGACTCCCCGAATTCATTAAATGTTGAAGAATGTTTGGAGGAAGTTGAACAACTTGAAGAAGCTGATTGCTAAATCTTTTTATTTTCTTGTTTTAATTATGTATTAATATTGTTATTGATTTTAATTCTAATTATTATTTGTTCTTTATTTTTTCTCTCAATATCAAGATTTGTGCAAGATATCCATTGCTGAGCCTGAAACAGTTGAGGTTTTAGACGACTAAGCTTCTGCCTTGATTAAAGAATGCTGGTGGGCTGTTTTTCCTGCTGTTCGTTGCTAATTTTGCTGCTGTTTGCTGCTGATTTTGCTGCTGTTTGCTGCAACTTTTCTTCTTAAGTTGTTCCTGCTAGTCTTTTTTGTTGCAGTAAACTCTTAGTGTTGCTTTTAAGTTGTACTATTTATTTTGAACAATTTAATTAGTCTTGATGTTAAACAATTTATGTTAATCTTGACTATCGTTTTATGTTATCGTATTAGTTTATTAGACGTTATAAATCAACTTAATTTAATTCGGATTTCGGATCGGATCCAAAATAACCGAATTTTAATTCGGATTGGATCGGATTGGATTGGAAGAGTAATTCGAATTGGATCGGATTGAAAAAATGAAAACCGATTTATAATTCGGATCGGATTGGATTTGGCCTAAATCCAAACCGAAAACCGAATGGACACCCCTAATTATTAGTGGAGCTAAACATTTGAGGAATGGTCTCTAAATCTTGATTTGAATACTTCCACTAGTACTAATATGGGGTGCACTTAGAATAAGTGATATTTTTTTGAACATTTTTATTTATTGGGAATAAATAGAATACATTGATGATGTTAATGCACGGGATATGTTATACTAGTAATCGGGGATACGGAATGTGTATAATTTAAGTATTGAGGTTTGAAAGGTTAAAGTTGGATATATTGTTCAATTGTTATTTGTGGTTCTCACTGTACTCAAAATTGTGTTTCCATTTTACTATGTAATATAGTTATATACACATCTCAAAATCACAAAATTTTATTTGAATAAATTAAAGCTACATATATGCTCATTGTTAGATTTCGACCCAACTTAATAAGAAAATTCGCGAAGCGTTGATACCAAGCTCTGGGAGCTTGCTTCAAACCATAGAGAGCCTTGCGAAGTCGACAGACATAAGTGGGTGTTCTCTGATCAAGAAAACCCGGAGGTTGATGCATATAAACAGTTTCCTGTAAGTCACCATGTAAAAAGGCATTTTTGACATCTAATTGATGTATCGACCACTTTTTAGCCAAAGCTAAGCTGAAAACATTGCGAATAGTGGCCGGTTTAACTACCGGACTGAAAGTCTCATCACAATCCACACCAACTTCCTGCGACCTGCCATCACATACAAGACGAGCTTTGTGCCTCTCAAGGTCACCATTAGACTTGTATTTATGCTTGAAAAGCCACATACAATTAACAATATTCACCCCCGCAGGCCTAGGTACCAATTCCCATGTCCCTGTTTTAATTAAAGCACTATATTCATCATTCATCGCCGCATTCCAATTATGGTCATTTAAAGCTTGTTTATAGGACTTTGGAAGCGGTGATTTATGGTGAGGGGGACCCGAAGGTTGAACGGTGAGGTTACAATATTTTGGGTTAGGCTTAAATATGCCCCGTTGACTACGGGTGACTCGGGGTGAGGGAGGTGGTGGCCGAGTGGGTCGTATGGGTGGAATGCCACGTAAAGGTGGCGGTGTATAGGGTGGACTATGCGTGGCTAGGCTGCTGTCCGGAGTTGGCGTGGGCAGTGAAGGCCGCAGCCCACCCGCGGCTGGAGCTGGGCTGCCACAGCCACGTTGCGGAGTGGGTTGGAGTGAGGGTGTGAGATGCGGATTTGGAGTGTGGGGTGATGCGGGGTGTGGGCTGCTGAGTTGTGAGGCTTGTGGGATGCTCATTTGTGGGCTTTGTGGGCTGCCAGGAGGGGAAAAGTGTTGTGGGCTGTTTTGTGGTGAAGGATGGTGCGTTGCATTTTGAGGAGTGTGGGCTGTGGGATGCAACAAGTGAGGTGGGGGATCATCATCACCTAAAAAATCATAATCATGGGAATGAAACTTAGCTAGATTTCGGAATGGGAAAGTCGCTTCATCAAAAGTGACATGACGCGATATGATTATTTTATTTGTGGTGAGATCAAGACACCTATACCCTCTATGATCAATGGGATAACCCAAGAAAACACACGGTGTTGATCGAGGAGCTAATTTATGTGGAGCTGTTGCAAACAAATTAGGAAAACAAAGACACCCAAAGACACGGATATGACCATACGAAGGAGTTTTTCCAAACAAGGCAAAGGCAGGAGTATTGTTTTTGAGAGCTTTAGTTGGCAAAATATTTAGAATATAAGTGGCCGTTTCAAGAGCATAAAACCAATACGAAGGGGGAAGAGACGCATGAAAGAGAATTGTACGCTTAATATTATTAAGTGTACGAATCATGCGCTCGGCTTTGCCGTTTTGTGAGGAAGTGTGTGGACAAGAAAAGCGGAAAAGCATTCCATGGTCAATACATTTTTGCTTAAAAGGGTCATTGTCAAATTCCCTACCATGATCACATTGAAAACATTTAATTTGACGTTCAAATTGGGTTTCAGCATATTTTCGGAAATTGATAAATGATTGAAAAGCTTGTGACTTGTATTTTAGGGGAATTGTCCACACAAAATGAGTATGATCACCTAATAAAACTAGATAATATTTGTGACCTTGAGCACTACGAATAGGAGAAGTCCATAAATCGGCATGTATAATATCAAAAGCACAAATAGTAGTATTATTAGAATTGTCAAAGGGAAGACGAGTATGTTTTCCTAATTGACATGAATTGAAAAAACATGGAGTCTTGCTCCTTATTACAATAAATATGATTTTTAGACTTAAAGATAGCTAAAAAATGAGCTCCAGGGTGTCCTAGACGACTATGCCAAGTAGATGGAGAAACAGCACTGAGAGAGGTAGCAAGATAGGTTGACGGAGTGGACTTGGTTGTTTTGACTGGATATAAGTCTCCCGAACTATCACATCTCGTTATTATGTTCCCCGTACGAAGATCCTTCACAGAAAAACCAAAAATCAATAGACACAGAATTATCAGAGGTAAATTTACGAATTGAAATAAGGTTTTTTATGAGTTTAGGTGCTAGGAGGACATCACGAAGGACAAGAGGTGTTTAGTATGGGGAAGGGTGCTATGACCATAACCTGTTACTGGAATACGATGACCATTACCAACTAAAATATGATGTTTAGTGCTTAAATTAAACAAGGGTAAGAGGTTACCAGCATTATTCGTCACGTGAGATGTGGCACCCGAATCCACGTACCACTGATTGTCGGGATTTGGAAGAGTCATTGTTGAGAACGAAGCTGCCAAGTCTGTAGGGGTCATGGGCTGACCGAATTGGGCTGCATAGGCCTGCTGAGACTTGGGCTGGCCCAAGATTGATTGTTGTTGCTGCTGAACAGGGAATGGCGCAGGGGGCCTAGCCCATGTGGCTTGCTGAGCCCACTGCTGGAAGCTGGCCCAGAGTTGCTGCTGCGTTGGGCCAGATTGGTGTGGAGTGGCGGATTGGGCCTGGGCTTGCTGTTGGGTCTGCTGCTGGCCACGACCCCTGCCCTTTGGCTTGGACTTTCCACCCCGGCCCTTGTTGCTGCGCCCACCGCCACCACCACCCCTGCCCTGTTGCTGCGACGGCTGCTGTTGTTGCTGAGCGGCTCCCGCGGTGGTGGTGGTGGTGTTGTTTGCCTGAGCGACAAACGCTTGGCCCGAATTGTCCTTGGCAGATTTGCGGGACTCCTCTAGCAAGATTCTTGATCGTGCTTCATCGAACCCGGGAAGAGGTCGAGTTTGAGTGATGGATTGAGCCACCCCATCATAGTCGGAGTCGATTAAACCGGCACAGAGACGAAGAACTAAGGTTCTTTCGGACACAGGCTGACCGACATTAGCTAGTTGGTCTTTTAATTCCTTCAAGTTCTGACAGTAGGAGGATACATCCGGAAAATTTTCAACAAAGAGATTGTTAAATTGATTTTCAAGATAAATAGCACGAATTTCACCATTATCTTAATATATTGGCGAGTCTATCCCAAGTTTCCTGTGCCGTAGCGTTCTTGTATAACACCGTGCTCCGTAGGTCTGCAGAAATTGTATTATAAATCCACTTTTTCACAATTGAGTTAAGGCGGTTCCACTGCGCCGAGGTGAGGTCCGTAGGACGAGGTGATTTGGGATCTATATGATCGATAACATTGCAGGAATGACAATGAATTTCGAAGAGTTCAACCCAACTACCATAATTCCCTTTGTCACGGTCAAGAATTTCTGGAACTTCGTTCCGGATGTTGCTGATGGAGTTTGCAGGGTGGTAGTCGTTTGAGGGAGGAGGAGGAGGAGGAGGAGGAGGCGTGGGAGGTTGATCATCATCCTTGGCCATTGCTAAGAGAAACGAACAAAAGCGCTACTGTAAACCAAATTGCTAATTAAAGATTTGATGCAGCAGCAAAGTGGACCAAAAAGTAGCAATATTAGGTGATGAAATTACCACGAGAAATTAGAGATAGCGGAAGAAAGAAGAGGATCGGATTTTTTAGAAAAAATTAATTTTGTGGAACCCTAAAAAATCTCGGCTGTGATACCATGTTAGATTTCGGGAAAACTCCTTGGGTTGGAGTGTGTACCATTGAATAATATATATAGAGTTACAATACTAGTCCTAATCTTGTTAGGAAACCTAATACGATAAGAATACAAACTATATCACAAATATTTACAAATATATCCTACTCTGTGACAAATATTATAATAATCCTATAATATCTATCACTCATAATTAAAGAGTAGGGAAATTGAGCACATTAGAATAATTAACATGTGGAATTTTCCTTCAATATATGTATCAATAATAATAATAATATAGTAATAAACATGTGGGTTTATGATCAGAAATTATAATGCAATGGTGAATTGGTGATGACCGACCACAATGTCGCAATTATACTTTTTGAGATGGAGTTGGTGAGTATGCAAACGTATATTAAGCTTTAATTAATTTTGTATAATATATATATATATATATTTAGTTAGGCTTAATTAATTATAATTTTGATCTTGACTCTTTACTAAAACTTCTCATACATGAAAAATAGTTGGTGGGTGGATTATATGAATGGGTAGGTTAATGAGGACCAACCCACCTGCAGTGATTGGAAATCTTCTCCTACCTAAGCTAAATAGAAGTAATTCACCACTTTATCAACAATTTTATTATACGATTAAGACCTTTTTTTTTTTTGACAAAATTAAAATTAATATCTAGTTAGTTACATTATATTATTGTGACATTTATTACAAGTACAAATAAGTTATTTAGAGCATTTTCAATAATTTAAAATATTTTGTTAGGCAATATATAAGTGTGTGTGTGTTGGATAGTTGAATATATAACAATCTTTCAAAAATTGTGCACATAATTGTTTTTAAAAAAACCATTTATAGTGGGCGTTTAGTCATAATGAAATTTTGTAATGACAAAATCCTTCATCACACTAAGTGGGCTGTGGTTTGATTTTGTTGGATCCTCTTAATTTTTGAGTTGGCCCAAGATCTATATTCATATTTTACTTGAATGTAGTTTGATGTCTTATCATGGCTTGCCTTGGCCTTGATGACTTGCCTTGTGTTTGCCTTTCGGCAAGCTAATACATTAATCCTTTAGTCCCCAACTCAATTGTTTGCTCTCATAGGAGTATAAATTACCATACCAAAAGTTTAAACAATTTTTTATTTAGTGTAAAAGTGTGAATTAACCTTCTATTATACACACTTTGTGACTTTTCTAACCAAATTCCCACAAGATCAGGGAGTTATTGAGTGGTTGAAATTATCTACTTTGCCTTTAATTTAATTATTTAGTCAGATATGTACATATACTTCACTAGTCCCCTTAATAACTCAAGGCAAACATGGATCTTTATATGACCGACTATAAGTTGTATACGACACTAAACTATATGTATATATAACTCGAGATCTATAACCATCACATTAATTTTCGGCCTTGACCAGTACCAAAACCTCTAATCTGAAATATGGTCTAATTTTGTGCATATATATAACTTTTAAATTTAGCCTACAAAATATATTTTTAAACCCGAAAAGGTCGACATTAGTTGTATCATAAGGTTCCCAAGGGGCCTTGGAGACCTAATTGGTACCTAAAACTATCTCTTTATGCATTGGTCTCCTCATCATCATGTTTTAATATCTCCTACCTTGGCCTTGACATGCCTTGCATTGCCTTAGATCTAAGCCAAGCCAAGCCACCACCAACAATTGTCATTTTTTATACTACCTCCGTTTCATATTAATTATTTATTAGATATAAAATATTTCAAAATTATAATTAATATAAAACGAAGGCAATATTACGTACAAAGATGCCACTTAAAAATATGATTGTTATCCAGAAATAAATTTTTAACGGATATCCGAACCTCAATTTCACAAAACCCAAAACCCCAAATAAAATTAATAGGATATATATCACGTGTAGCCAAAAGCAATTAGCTTTTGCACTAGGACTAAAGTAAAATTTTGGAGTAATATATTAAGCATGCAAATTAAAAGTAGAAAAGCTCCACTACCTCCCAATAATGCTTTTGTGAAAGGAGGAAGATAAGATAATTACTTGTACTGTATTATTTTGCACTTATACCCGTTACGTAGTGGAAAAAAGAAAAAGAAGACTAATAATACTTTTTTTTATTATTATTTTATTTAAAATGAAGCTTTCTTTGATTTCCTGAAAAAATAAAATAAAATTGTGTAGAGACTAGAGAGACATGAAAGCTAACATTTGATATGGGATTTGATCTCAAAACTTAAACACATTAGCATAATTGAAATATATTTAATAAAGCGAGATTTAACATCGTATAAGCTTTGTCCAAGTATGATTTTAGTTAGCTATTTTATTAGTATTGTCATTTTTAATTATACCATCTGTAATGCTTTAATCAAATAAGCTAATTTATATTCACCTTTTATTTAATTACAACAAAGTACTCTGTAATATCCCGTTCAAAAAAAAAAAAGTACTCCGGAATACTATTCTTTGACTTTTAAAATATGCACAAGTGGTTAGAACCTTTGGGCTTTGGCTAAGACTTTGGTCTTTGTTGGCCTCTCTTGTCGTCTAAATGATTAAAGAAGAAACTTTACCCTACTAAGTGTTTTTTTTGCCCTTCTTTCATTATTACTTTCAAAGGATCTTAGATTTTAATTCGCTAGACTAAGCTTACCTTTTCAATCGGAAGGTAGGCTACTCCATCAAGTCTTTCATTCTTTCACATTAAATCATTTAGCATTTCAATCACACCAAGGTTTTGGAGGCATATATATTCATGACGACTAAGACATCAAGATAAACCTCAATCGTTCAAAGTGGGGAGAATAACCCACTTTCGTAACTTAAAGTTGGACATATACATAATTAATTATTCGTATATGAATAGGGACTTAGAGCGAGAGCCACATAAGTATACAATATAAAGATTTATCCGTCTTATATCATTAACACTAGACATACATTATTAGAATAACAAGAGTTGACTCAAGTAGTAAACAACTTGATGTCGTTTAAGGGAGGTCTCAGCTTCGAGCCTCAACGAATGCAAAAAACTCTTGTTGGGAAACTCACCCGCCATAAGCCAAGTGTGCAACTCGGATCGAATCCGAATATAGTCAGAGCTAAACTCTCACTAAGATTACCATATCCAAAGTTCATATGAGGTTTCATATAGAACATATATACCTACCGCTTCGTATAACACATGTGAAATAAGTTTATATTTTTAAGTTAGTGTCTACTCTACTATATTTTGAATATAGTGCAATACTCATATTTACATAGATGATTGATTGATGACTTTTAGTAAAACTCATTTCTTTTCCCATTTTTATTTTTTTTATGACACAACTTTTATTATTTATATTTATATATATGGACATTTCCCTCCTTACTTTCCACACCATTTGGTAAGCTAAAGCAAGAAAGATGATGAGTAAAAGCAACAAACACTATTATTTTCTATTGATATCCCTCTATTTTTGCCTTATTTCTAACACTCTCTCCCCAATTAATGCTACTGATCAAGTTGCTAACTTGTACAAGTTGCTCAAATCTAAGAGGTCAAAAAACCCTTCTCTTGCTGCTTCTTGGGTCACATTGCCAACCCAAATCAAGAACACTCGGGTTCATGCTAAACCTCAAGATGGGCTCATGGAGGCGGACAAGATCACCACCTTACCCGGCCAACCGGATGGGGTGGATTTCGATCACTATGCCGGGTATGTAGCCGTTGATCAAACTAGCGAGAAGGCACTGTTCTATTACTTTGCTGAATCTCCTAAGAACTCATCTTCAAAACCTTTGATATTATGGCTAAATGGAGGTAATCATAGTATTTATGATCTTAAAGAAGTCATTTTTTGTATTTATTTTTTTTTCATTTTTTATATATAGGCCTTTATAATTAGTTGATCCAATTAACCGTTACTTTCTTAGTCGTTTATTAAGTAGGTAAACCAATATTTACTAATGATCGAGTAGATAAAATATACTACATATTAACAATACTACAAATAAAAGCAAGGGTTTCTTCCTGTTTAATGCTGAAAAAAATTAGATGCTCAAATACTTTACAAAGTAAAAATTTTGAAATTTGGTTCCAACACACATGGTTTTGGACCCACAATGATAATGGTATCTTATGCATGTTACTTATAGATTAACCTATCATTCAAGTACTAAGCAGTAAGAACTACAACTTACAAAAAAAATAAAAAATATAATAATAATAATAAATAAATCATGTAATTAATTACTTCTTTAATTATCTTTCCCGTGTATAATAAAGAAATAGCTTATTGTGTCACGTTATCACTAAGTTAGATGATAAATCTATGTCTCCATAATTCGATCAAACGGGAGGCATAATAGCCATTTATACCTACGCAGCCACGCGTCACACATGTACAAGCCTACAAGGTGTGGTGTGCATATGTTGTACGCCTTACATCCATCTATATCACTACAATATAATTTAGTATTGATAAAATTTATAATTAAATTTAGATGGAGCCAAATCTTCTACTTTTTTAATCGGGGATACGAGGGTAATAACTGATATAATAAGGACTCTTTAATACGTAGTACAAATTACCTAGTAATAGTGGGAATGAATTCAAATCACAATTCACACCATCTTATTTATTTGGGTACCTTCTTGTGGTCCCTCTTGTCACACACATTATCATTATTTAGCTGAATTCCATAATCACCTTTAATCATCATTCTTCAATTGTGTAAACATGTTTCTTTATTAACAGTATTCACGTCTTTAGCTAAACTAAACCTTTACTCATAATCACCTTTAATTTGATCAAATTATATACCATATATACTCCATAGTAAATTCAAATGCAATTCAATACTATCACAACCATTCTTCCTTCCCAAGATTTAATTGTTTCAATGATCGAGAGGATCTATTTGTGTACGTATGTAAGTACGTATGTAACATTAGTACGTCCTTACAGAATAAAGACCAAATTTGTGTAATGAACGTTTCTAATGTGAATTTCAGGACCTGGATGCTCCTCATTTGGCAATGGAGGACTACTAGAACTTGGACCTTTTAGAGTCAAAAGCGATAGCAAAACACTAATTCGAAATCCATATGCTTGGAATAATGGTATGGAAAACGTACATTTTTACTCCGATCCCTTTTATTATATAGAATTTCTACTAGTATGTACTTTAAGTCTTTAACGAATATGTATACTTGTACAGTTGCAAATGTGATATTCTTGGAATCACCGGCAGGAGTAGGATTCTCATACGGAAATGAATCAATCATCTATAACCAAACAGGGGATATAAGCACGGCTAAAGATGCCTATACTTTCCTTGTCAATTGGTTTGAGAGGTTCCCTCAATATAAAAACCGCGATTTTTACTTAGCTGGAGAGAGCTATGCTGGTCATTATGTGCCTCAACTTGCTTATACCATCTTGCATAACAACAAGAATGCAAACCATAACTTCATTAATCTCAAAGGCATCGCGGTATGTATCATAACATTCTTAATCCTTTAAAAAGTTTCCAACTAGGGAGACAAATAAAAAATAAAAAAAAATCACACATAAGTTCAGATAAGTAAAATTCACTTGAAAAAACGAACTTTAAAGTTTAATAATAGTTTTTTGTTGCTTGAAAATTTTGCAGATAGGCAATGCATGGATAGATGATGCTACAAACTCAGAAGGGATGTATGATTATTTATGGAGTCATGCTTTGTTTTCAGATGAAACACATGCTAAAATCAAACAATCATGCAATTTTTCGGAGACATCTACTTCTGACGAATGTGATAATTATAGTAGTATAGCAGGGGAAGAAGCGGGGAATATTGACATCTACAACATTTATGCCCCAGTTTGTGTTAAGCTTGGAATCAAAGCTCATATTCTTGATTCAGTATGTCTTTTACTTCGTTTATATATATATATATATATATATATATATATATATATATATATATATATATATATATATATATATATATATATATATATATATATATATATATATATACTCTCTTCGTTCTTCAATTTCTTCTAGGTTGGCTAAGTACTATAAAACTTATTAGTGAATTTGAATTAAGATGTGGAGGGGCCGTAAGCTAGCTCTTCCACCCATGAGGTTGGGGGTTCATTTATATTAGTTCTCTGTTCTCGTTAGGGAGGGATGCCCAGTCAATTCCCCAGATAGACTATAATTGTCTTTTCAAGTACTAGTGGAGGGGTATATGCGTCTTTTCATGTACTAGTTGAGGGTACATGTGTAAATTTCTCACCAAACAGTAAAAGCAAAAGGCAAACAGTAATTGGACAGCTCACCAAAAAGTACTGAATAAATGACCTTGTTTTTTCAAAATATTTACAAAAATGTCATCAGATTAACAAAAATGCGTTTATATGGCAGATTAACTTGTATTTCCCCTGATTAGGTACTAAAATTATACATAATATTATCTATTAGGTGGAAGTTTATGATCCTTGTTCTTCACTTTATGTGGAAGATTATCTAAATAAAAAAGAAGTGCAAAAAGCTCTTCATGTCAAACCTACAAAATGGGAATCCTGCAGGTAATTTTAATTTTAGTTTGAAATTGACAAGACTTTTTCTTAACTTTTATTTAATTCTTTAATTACAATTAATAGAATATTAATTTTTGAAGAATGGAATTTTTGCTTGTATGAACTCCGATCCAGTGGTTTTGAATGGCATGATAGTCCATCCACTATTTTACCAGTCATTCAGAAGCTCATGGCAAGCAACATTAGTGTGTGGATTTACAGGTAATTCAATATTGGATAATTCTTTACGCAATAACCCTGTTTCTAAATTAATACAAAGTATACACTTATTAACGCATAACTTTGACCATATTTGATAACAACTTTCGTGTTTCATTATTACTTACTACATGTACATATATATGCTCCTGTGTGACCAGCTTTTTTTAATTTAAACACACCGATGTATATTGGTATATATATTTTACAGTGGTGACGTTGATGGACGTGTTCCGATTACATCATCAAAGTACTCCATTAATGCGCTCAAACTTTCAATTAAAAATGCTTGGCGTCCATGGTACACATCAGATAATCAGGTACGTGACAAAATTGGTTAATTAATATTATCTCGATCTTAGGAAATGGAGTTGTACGTACTATGTTAATTTTTAGGTTGAAAAAATACGTGTGTTAATTAATTAGGAAAAAATTAAGCAAAGTATTAATTTCTATTTCTCTAATGTTTTTAATGAAACATTGGTTAAAAAAGGATTAGATGTACACAACCTTTATTCTAGTGATAATCGAGAAAGATAGTTCTTCATAAGTTTTCATATAACCTAACAAATGCATACGAGTACAGCTTACGTATGTTTGGCTAGAGAAATAACCAACAATTTTTATTTTTATTTTATTTTTGCATACAGGTTGGAGGGTATGTAGTAGGTTATGAAGGATTGGTGTTTGTAACCGTTAGAGGAGCTGGGCACCTAGTTCCAAGTTACCAACCAGCTAGAGCTTTGACCATGGTCTCGTCATTTCTCCAAGGAACTCTGCCTCCAAAGTCGTCTTGACATTGATTTCTCCATATTATGTGACGTTCTGACTTGACAGGGCCTTCTTATTCCTCGAAGAAAAAAAAATTAAATTGTATCCAAGTGCGTGGTGGATAATTGTAAACAATAGCAATAGGAAACCATTGATTAAGAAACTTTGCCCTACATTGTGCTCCATATATTTTTTTTTTCACTTCTTTCATAATTACTAATAATTATATATATTTTATATGTTATTATCTCTAACTTTAATTACTTGTTATATCATGTATGTACCTTTGCTAGCTATATTTTATATAACAAAAAAAAAGACTTTCTAATGGGAAGGTAGATTATTCTAGTTTTCCTCTGGCCTGGCTAGAGTCAACAAACTAACGCTATTTCACAATTTAGCATTTCCCAGTTCTTAGCAAGATTTTGGAAGCATATACTACATAACTAAATGACTACGACACTAAGATTAACATCAATCATACAAAATGGGGCGAAAAATGCACATACGTAACGCTAGACTAACACATGTACTAAATGGATATTTATCTATTCGAGGACGACAATTCACGAGCGAGTCTATTTATCTATTCGAGGTTTTCCAAACTAAAACTAGAAAAACGTCCATTGAATATTTAGATTTGAAATTTATTTATTTTTTTATATAAAAATAAATAATAAAATAATACAAGACAACTATTATCATGAGGTTTCATTTAATAAGCGTTTAAATAAATTTATAGATACGTCATTCTACTATATTGTCAATGTAAGACAACTCTTTTTGGTTATATATGATAAATGACCAATGAGTTTTAGCATGACCAATCTTTGTCCAATTCTCCAATTGATGATGATAAGCCAAATCTTACATTATTTATATGGGAAGTTTCCTCATTATGATCATTATCACTCCATTCTAAATAGTAAACTTAATAGCAAGAAAGATGAGCAAAGGCATACACTATTACTTTCTCTTACTATCCCTCTATTTTTGCTTTCTTTCAAACATACTCACCCCAAGTAATGCCAATGATCAAGTAACAAATTTGTATAAATTGCTCAAGTCTAAGAGGTTAAAAAGCCCCTCTCTTGCTGCTTCTTGGGTCACATTGCCAACCCAAATAACGGAAACTCAAGTTCATGTTGAACCTCAAGATGGTCTTATGGAGGCCGACAAGATCACCACCTTGCCCGGCCAGCCAAATGGGGTTGATTTCGATCAATATGCCGGTTATGTAGCTGTTGATCCCGCTCATGAGAAGGCATTGTTCTATTACTTTGTTGAATCCCCTGAGGATGCTTCTTCCAAACCTTTGGTTTTATGGCTAAATGGAGGTAAATGTAATATGATATTATAGAAGCTAATTATTTCATTAGTCTTTTATAGATGTTTAGTTATATCAATAAAACCTTTGCTTTAATTTCTTAGGTGTAGGAAATCAATATTAGGCCAATAAATATTGATGATATATGATGAGTAGTTAAACTACAAAGAAAGTGATTCTATATGATTTCAATAAATCCATTACAAAGTGGGAGTTTTTGTAGTGTGAATTGAAAATTTTGATATTTAATTCACGAATCACGACACATGGGTTTAGACCCACAATGATAGTGATAATAATAGTGGAATTTTATGCATGCATATGTTAATTTAAACTGTCTTTCTAGTGGTAAGTAAGAGCAACAACTATATCCAAAAAAGTAAAAATAAAGAACTTCATCATTTTAATATTGAAAATTAACACCTTATATCTTTCCTCCGCATGATAATAAAAGAAGTGCTTACTCACATTATCACTAACCCAGAGAATAATAACTTGATAGGTTCTATATACGTCTACAATACAAAACGGAATCACATTTTTTTTTTCTCTAGTTGACTACAACCATAATCTCGAGTTTACTTAAAACAATTTATTTGAGTGACACATGATAATGTGTATATATCCACGTGTCGCACAATCGGACATGTAAACGGAAGTGTGCACGTATTGTCTTACATATCAAATATATATCGACACATAGTTAATTATATCTTAATTGGCTTTAATATATATGTAGAATTTGTGGCGTAAAATTTTTCATTTAAATATAATGGGGCCAAGAGAATATAATACAAGTAAAATACTTTTGACTTTTCAACAAAAAAAAAAATACTTAGACGTTCATAGTGGAAAAATAGTCGTTCGTTGTTGTCAAAAGCGCGTAAATTGAACTTATTAGGTCATATATCACACCTTTAAAAATAATCTACTGCATTATTTACTCCATAATATCTTGTTATGCAGCGCATCTTTCTTCTTTGTATTCTTCAAAGGTTGATTAACTTCCTGTAAATTTGTAATTTAATTTTGTGATACAAATATGTACAAATTGAGCATTATATAGATAATGATTTTTGTTTTTTTGCTACTTAACTTCTTTTTCATAACTGGGCACCTTCTTCTGGTCCCTCTTAAGTTAGAAGTAATTATCAAATGAGCTAATAAACAACATTAGCTATTGGACATTTGGACCACCAGCCTACCACTACATGTCTACATTAATTATCATCATGAACTAAGCTAAGTTCATTGTCCCCATGCTCCTTTTGTGTAAACATGCATGCTTACTTCTTAATTAGTCGTTGCGCCTTTTTTTCAGCTATAATGTACCTTTTGATCGAGTTTTGATAAACTAAACTAATCATATACGGAGTAATAAATAATTATTTCGATTTACAACCATCACAATGAATCCTCAAAATTAAATTATTCGATAACTCCTAAGTTTTGTGGAAGATTTGTGTAACATTTCTTCTTAAAGAGTAAAAAAAAAAAAAAATTGTGTAATGATCTCCTAGATTGACATTTTTTAAGGGAAATTCTCTGTTTCTCATGGGGCATTTTTGTGAATAAATCAACAACATTTTCATCATTGTGGGCTCCACAATTGAATAAAGTTGTTGATTTATTAACGAAAATGCCATGTGAGAAAAAAAAATTTGTTTCTTACCATGAAAAAATGGAGCATCCTCTCTTTTTTGACTGACGCTAATGGGGCATTTTTGTGAATAAATCAACAACATTTTCATCATTGTGGGCTCCACAATTGAATAAAGTTGTTGATTTATTAACGAAAATGCCATGTGAGAAATAAAAATTTGTTTCTTACCATGAAAAAATGGAGCATCCTCTCTTTTTTGACAGACGCTAATGGGGCATTTTTGTGAATAAATCAACAACATTTTCATCATTGTGGGCTCCACAATTGAATAAAGTTGTTGATTTATTAACGAAAATGCCATGTGAGAAATAAAAATTTGTTTCTTACCATGAAAAAATGGAGCATCCTCTCTTTTTTGACTGACGCTAATGTAAATTTCAGGGCCAGGATGCTCATCGTTTGGCAACGGAGGATTATTAGAACTAGGACCATTCCGGGTAAAAAGTGACGGGAAAACACTAATTCGAAATCCTTATGCTTGGAACAAAGGTATGTTATTTAAGCCTTAAAGCATTATCATAACAAGAAGTTATTAAATTATACTGTAGGAAACAATGAACTAATTTATTATTTATCAAATTGTGTAATTGGCAGTGGCAAATGTGATCTTCTTAGAATCTCCGGTAGGAGTAGGATTTTCATATGGAAAGGAACCAGCCATCTATGCACAATCAGGGGATACGAGCACGGCTAAAGACGCTTACACGTTCCTTGTCAATTGGTTTGAGAGGTTCCCTCAGTACAAAAACCGCGAATTTTACTTAGCAGGAGAGAGTTATGCTGGTCATTATGTGCCTCAACTTGCTTATACCATCTTGCATAAAAACAATAACGCAAAACATGACAGCAGTTTCATTAATCTCAAAGGCATAGCGGTATTTACTCCTTATCATACACTTTAATTTGCATACTAACGAGTTAATATGTTCTTTTCTTGAGGTTTTAGATATAAAAGGGTAATAAATAAGTTCAGGTAGGTTCATATAAAGAGCGATAACTAACCCATGTGAAAAGAACGAAACCTAAATGACAAATCGTGTTATGCAGATAGGTAACGCTTGGGTAGATGATGCAACAAATACAGCAGGATTGTATGATTATTTATGGAATCACGCTACACACTCGGATGAGACACATGCCAAAATCAAGCAATTTTGCAATTTTTCCAAGGCAACAACATCCCAAAAATGCGAAGATTACAAGGATAAAGCTTGGGAAGAAGCAGGGAATATAGACATTTACAACATCTATTCTCCAGTTTGCTTAATGTCTGGAAATTCCAAAGCTCATATTCTTGATTCAGTATGTTTCTTCACCTTTTTTTCAAGCTAATTAAGTATTTATTACCTAAACTTAAATAAGCAGTGGAAGGGCATTATGCTCGATTAGTCTCCTACCCTTCCACTCGCAAGGTTGGGGGTTCAATTCTCATTAACAGGCGTTGAAAATGACCAAATTAAACATGAGTATGTCTAGTTTGGTGTTGCTTGGGGTGTTCTAGCTAGCTAGGATACAATTAGACATTTAGACTTACAAAGGGTTATGCATGTCTAATGATTAAAATAAATGATCAATAATGGATTATTGCCACTTAACTAGATTAGTGCCGTTTGATAGAGCACAAATTTGGGAAAACCTTGTTCCTTGTGAGGTTTCCTCGTATGTATTCATGTATTCTCTTATTTTGAATTAATGCACTAATCCGCTTACTTTCAAAAATAAGATAGCTAAAATAAATTATTGCATATATATATTCAGGTTGAGGTTTATGATCCATGTTCATCCAAATATGTGACAACTTATTTAAACACTAAAGAAGTGCAAAAGGCTCTCCATGCCAAACCCAAAAGATGGGAATCCTGCATGTACTTTTAATTTTATTTTGTTTCAAGTAATTACATGTACAAATCCTTAATTTTCCCCTGTTTTTTTTTTTATTTTCCTCAATTACAATAATTAGTAGATCGAATATCTTAATCAAATGTAAATTAATTATTCATGTGTGAAATCCAGTGGATTTAGATGGCAAGATAGTTCATTTACAGTGTTACCAATCATTCAGAAGCTCATTGCAAGCAACATTAGTATGTGGATGTACAGGTAAACAATTCAACTAGTTTATTGATCGAACTCTTCTCTTAATCTTTTATTTACTTTCAACGTAGTATTATTTTGACATATGATATCCGTATTAAAAATTGGTTTCATCTTACAGCATTGTACTGTCTCTATGTGTGCATTAGTAGGTTAGTAGTATAACAAAATCACATGTAAAATTAAAATACATCGCGATTTTAAACACATCTAATATAGTTGTACACTAGACAAATCGTGATTTTTAACTGACTATTGGTCTTTTTTAACAGTGGAGATGTTGATGGACGTGTGCCGGTCACATCATCAAAGTACTCCATTAACATTCTCAAGCTTCCAGTTAAAGATGCTTGGCGTCCATGGTACGACACAGACAACCAGGTATATAGAAATAAAAATTCTACGGAGTACTAAATAAGGGTTTGTTCTCATTGATTGAACTCAGCTGAACTGAACTGAACTGAATTGAAATGAATATTTTATAAGAGAAGGAAATTAGAAGCTGAACAGAACTGAACAGAACACTGAACTGAACTGAATTTCAACGTAAGAGAACAGGCCCTAAGTAAGACTTCATTTTGACTTATATTAGTTATATAGTATAACAATATATAGCATCGTTTTAATCCACCATCTTATTCAAAAGACGATCTCATACTAAATCTGTATTAGCCTAATTGTTACCAATATGTTATATAATAAGTATTTCAAACAATTAAGCTAAGAAATGCAGAAAATTTGATTATGATATGGTTAGAAAAGTGATAAACTTAAATAGTTTATTTTTGCATACAGGTTGGAGGATACGTAGTAGGTTATGAAGGAATGGTGTTTGTGACAGTAAGAGGGGCTGGACATCTAGTTCCAAGTTACCAACCTAAAAGAGCTTTGATCATGTTCTCATCATTTCTCCAAGGAAAACTACTTCCGAAATCGAGGATGATGAGCTAGTGATACAAGGCAAAAACAATTACTTACACAAGTAAGATTATATGACAAGAGGATTTATTTATGATGAAAATCATTTAGTAAAAAACTATAACGTACAAGAAAATATTGTCTTGTATTTATTATGGAAAACAAGCATCTAAACCTTAAAATACCTTATGTATTAATTATTTAGGGGACTCAATCCAGGTAAATGGTGTGTAACTGGCAACATCTGATGAAGGACCCTTGTAAAAAAGACGCTCAAACTTCCTTGTTGCTAAATTGTAAACAGAATCATTTCTACCATGACGTCCAAGACCCCTGAACTTATCAATACAAACACTATAATCCTCAGTATAGTAAACGCAATTAGGCTTAAAGCCATTGGCAAGACATTGAGAAGGAGATACCTCCACGGAAAAGGAAGAGTTTGAACCTATGAAAAATGCTCTATTTCCCAAGCTAGAAACTTCCTTAACCTTTCCATTATTAACATTCAACTCAAGTACCTCAAATCTTGAAGTGCAACAGCGCCGATCTTTAGATTTCCTCTCAAAATATCGAACCACTTGACTTGACGTATAATCAACAATTGGCCTAAAGACTTGACCAGGTAATAGAAGCATGTATCACTAAATACGGTTGTGGAGCTATTCGGCTTCTTCGCTTGCACATGTCTTTGACAAGATAGGTTAGCCACCACTCGAAAATGAGGACTACCTTGTGCTGTCTCAAATTTCACAATCCAACCATACCTATTAGTCCCATAAAACTCACCTTCGTAAAAAGTTACATCAACACAAGTAGAGTTAAGAAATCTTCCTATCTCGTGGACGTTGAGGACGTTAGGATATGGATTTGTTACGCGAACCCACATAACATCACCATTCTTCCAGTAAAACAGTTTTGAATGCGGCGTATCAAAATTGACCAATAAATCATAGAAGTATAAAAAGACAATGAAATCGGAAGTGGTTAAGGGGTTGGCTGATAAGGTGAACTTAAAACGAAGTGCACCAATGTAAAAAGAGTAAATTTTTGGGAGCTTGATTATGGCATTGGTGTAAGGGTTTAAAAGAGAACCTTCACCTGTAGTATTCGACAGCACAAGCAACCACCCAAGAGAAGATAACAACTTTTTCGGGTCTTTTCTTATGTTATGAAGAGGAAGGTTAATGTGATAAACCATTTTCTTAGATACGCTATACAAACGAAGGATCGTTGAGAAATCGTTCTTTCCTGGTAGCATCAACCATGGAAGCGTATGCTCATCACCCGAGCATGATTCTTTCAGATAAGCTCGAAACTTTGTTGCCTTTGCCGCTAGTCTCCAATGGCTACAAATTTTTTGTAAAGTCTCAAAGTCTTCGTAGAATTCCACATGTTCTACAATTTTAGTCACAATCTCTTTTGGCATATCACCCCAATCTCTCATCTTTGATTCACACTTCAACTCAAATCTAATAAGAATCCAAAAATAAATATATTTGCAACTATAAGTGATTATACATAAAAAATAAAAATAAAATAAAAACATTACAATAAATCAAGAGAAACAAAAAGGACAATACAAAATTGATCTCTTCATTAAAATTCCACTTCTTTTATCAAAACATTACGTAAATAATTTTAGGGATATTTGATTCGATTATCAAACTGATTAAGATCTTTCATATAACCTTATTCCGTAGTAATTAAAACCAATAGTTCAAATTTTCAAACCCTAAACTTGACAATTAAAAGTGAATTGACATGACGTTTACAAAAAGAAACAGCAAATTACATAATTAATCATAACCTGCTTAATTGAGAGATTCAAGTGTCAAAAGGTGCTTCGATGTAGAACGCTGAGTGCGCTTCAATAAAGAATTGAGAAAGAAAGGAGTTGGAGATTATTGTCTATTCGGCTATTCCTATCGGGCTATTAGTAGAGCCGTCAAAAGTTGCCCTAATCCGAAATACCGACTCAAACTCGATTATTAACCGACCCATCTGAACTCGAAAAAATGGTGACCCAAACCCGGCATGACCCGACCAAAAACCAACCCTAGACCCGAGTTGACCCGGGTATGTGAGACCCGAACCCGAACGTGAATTGACCTGGAGATGACCCGACCCGAATGTAACCCGTAAATTATTGACCTGAACCGAACCTGACGTGAACCGAAATTGACCCAAACCCGTTTTAACCCGTCAAAACCCGAATTTAACCCGACTTGTTACTAACCTGACCCGTTCCTAACCCGACCCGAATTTAACCCAACCTATTACAAACTCGACCCAAAATCAACCCGACTTGTTATTGACCTGACCCAAATCCAACCCGACTTGTTATTGACCAGACCCTAATTTTACCAAACCTATTACTAACCCGACCCAAAAAGTTCAACCCGATTTGTTATTAACCCGACTCAAAATCAACATGACTTGTTATTAATTGACCCGACCTAAATTCAACCCAAATTGTTCCTGACCCAAATTCAAATCACCTTAAATACAATTTAGACCACCTCATTATTGTTGATCAAAACATTTTATCTATGGAGACCAAGTCTATCCAGGCCAACAAAAGAAAGGAGCATCATCCTTAAATTTAAGAGTTAAATATAGTATATATTTGTTGTATGGTCAAAGCAGATAATTATCTTCCTAAATTATAGACTATAGTTCCCTAGTATATTGCCATATATATTATAGTCAAAGAAAATAATTAGCTTGATAAAAATGATAATTATCTATTTATAATTAGTGGAACCTGAATATGACCAGACTTGGAAATAACCCGGCCTGATTGGAACTTGCAAATTATTGACTTGAACATACATAACCCGACTTGAATCCGAGAATGACCCGACTTGGAAATGACCCAACCTGATTATAACCCGCAAATTATTGAATTAAACCGAACCCGACTTTAACCCGAGAATGACCCGACTTGAAAATGACCCAACATGAAAATGACCCGACTTAATTATAATCCGCAAATTATTACTTGAATCGAACCCGACTCAAACCTGAGAATGACCCGCGTGACTTAATTTTAACCCGCAAATTATTGACTTGAACCGAACCCGAATCGAACCCAAGAATCACCCTAACCCGTGAAAACCCGAATTAAACTCGATCTATTGTTCACCCGACCCGAATGTAACCTGACCTGTTATTAACCCGACCAAAACCCGATAAGAAGTATGACCCAACGTGACCCGACTCAAGCATGACCCAACCCAAACCTGACCCGCATAGGTTATGGAATTAATCCAAATTGACCCGACCTACTCTTACCGACCCAAACCCGACCCATTTACCTGGATTGACAGCTCTATCCGAAACCTCCAAAATTTCTCAAAAGCGTGGACATTAGCCTTCAATTTTGGAATTTTTTGACTTTTTTTCACCCGAAAATAAAAATTGACGAAATGTTTACCATTGTCCCTAATACCCTCCAGAAGTCCAATTGGTTGGGTTGAACCACCCAATTTGCCTTTAAACGACCAATTTACCAGTTTACAACTTGCACCGATTTCATTAAATCACGCCTACCACGAACATATATGACAACATATAATGATCATATATGGTTCCAAACAGTATTATATGACCCTAAGATGTATCCACTAAAATCTCAATGCTTTTCGACACCGGGCTCCGAAACATATGAAATTTCTCAAAAAGCATGGATATTAGCCTTCAATTTTAGAATTTTTTTGACCTTTTTTACCAATTTGGCGAAATGTTTACCATTGTCCCAAATACCATCCGGGATTCCAATTGGGTGGGTGAAACCATCCAATTTGCCTTCAAACTACCAATTTACCGATTTACAACTTGCACCGATTTCATTAACGCAAGCCTACCATGAACATTATATTCATGACAACAAATAATGATTACATATGGTTTCAAACGATATTATTTGACCCTGGGATGTATTCCCTAGAATTTCAAGACTTTTAGACATCGGGCTCTGAAAACTCCAAAATTTCTCAAAAAGGTGGATAATTAGCCTTCAATTTTTGAATTTTTTGACTTTTTTTCACCTGAAAATAAAAATTGCCGAAATGTTTATCATAGTCTCTAATACCCGCTGGAATTCCAATTGGGTGGATGGAACCATCCAATTTGTCTTTAAACGGCCAATTTACCGGTTCATAACTTACATGGATTTCATTATCTCAAGCATACTACAAACATTTACTCCCTCCGTCCCAAAAAGAACGACCCATTTGGGTTGATTACGCGGGTATTAAGGAAGTTAAGTAAAAAGAAGTAAAAGTATATTGGAAAGATAAATTTACATGGGGTTTGTAAAAAAAATAGAGAGAGAAAGTAATAAAATAACATGGAAAATGAAATTTTTATATGGGGAAGCTAATTTTGCACAAATATTGTTGCAAATTGGTGGTGTTTTAATGCAAATGGGTCATTCTTTTTGGGACAAAGTTTTGGCCAAATGGGTCGTTCTTTTTGGGACGGGGGGAGTATGACAACATATAATGATCATATATGTTTCCAAATGGCATTATATGAACCCGAGATATATCACCTAAAATATCAAGAATTTTCTACACTAGGCCCCGAAACCTCCCAAATTTTTCAAAAAACGAGGATATTTGCCATCAATTTTGGAATTTTTTGTCTTTTTTTTGCCCGAAAACAAAAATTGACGAAATGTTTACCATGGTCCCTAATACCCTCCGAGAATCCAATTAGGTGGGTGGAACTATTCAATTTGCCTTTAAACGACCAATTTACCGGTTTACAACTTGCACGGATTTAATTAACTCAAGCCTACCACAAATATCTATGACAACAAATAATGATCATATATGGTTCTAAACGGCATTATATGACCCCCAAATGTATTCCCTAAAATCTCAAGACTTGCGACACCGGGCCCCGAAACCTCCAAAATTTCTCAAAAAACGTGGACATTAACCTTCAATTTTGAAAATTTTTGAATTTTTTTCAACCGAAAATAAAATTTGCCGAAATGTTTACCATGGTCCCAAATACTCTCTGGGAGTCCAATGAGGCTGGTGGAACCACCCAGTTTGCCTTCAAACAACCAATTTACCGGTTTACAACTTGCACGGATTTCATTAACTCAAGCATACTATGAACATTTATGACAACATATAATGATCATAAATGATTCCAAACGGCATTACATGACCCCGTCCCCTATAATTTCAAGACTTTTCGACACTGGGCCCTAAATCCTCCAAAAATTCTCAAAAAGCGTGGATATTAGCCTTCAATTTTGAGATTCTTTACTTTTATTCGCCCGAAAATAAAGCTGAAATGTATCCCATGATACCTAATATCGTCCAAAAGTCCCATTGGGTGGATGAAACCATCCAATTTGCCTTTAAACGACTAATTTCTCGGTTTATTACAACTTTCACCGATTTCATTAATTCAAGCCTACCACGAACATTTATGACAACAAATAATGATCATATATGGTTCCAAACGGCATTATATGACCCCGAGATGTATCCTCTTGAATTTCAAAACTTTTTGACACCGGGCCCCTGAAACCTTAAAATTTATCAAAAAGCGTGGATATTAGCCTTCAATTTTGGAAAATTTTGACTTTTTTTGCCCGGAAATAAAAATTGCCGAAATGTTTACAATGGTCCCTTATACCCTCCGGGAGTCCAGTTGGGTTGGTGGAACCATCCAATTTGTCTTTCAACGACCAATTTACTAGTTTACAACTTGCACGGATTTCATTAACTCAAGCATACTACGAACACTTATGACAACATATAATGATCATATATGGTTCCAAACGGAATTATATGACCCCAAGAAGTATCCCCTTAAATATCAAGCATTTTCTACACCAGGCCCTGAAACCTCCAAATTTTTTCAAAAAACGTTGATATTTGCCTTCAATTTTGGAATTTTTTGACTTTTTTCGCCTGGAAATAAAAATTTCCGAAATGTTTACCATGGTCCCTAATATCCTCCGGGAGTCCAATTGGGTGGGTGGAACCATCCTATTTGCTTTAAATGACCAATTTACCGGTTTACAACTTGCACAGATTTCATTAATTCAAGCCTACCATGAACATTTATGACAACAAATAATGATCATATATGGTTCCAAAGGCCATTATATGTCCCCGAGATGTATCCCATATAATTTCAAGACTTTTTGACACCGGGCCCCGAAACCTCCAAAATTTCTCAAAAAACGTGGATATTAGCCTTCAATTTTGGAATTTTTTGACTTTTTTTTGCCCGAAAATAAAAATTGGCGAAATGTTTACCGTGGTCCTTAACACCTTATGGGAGTCCAATTGGGTATGTGGAACCATCCAATTTAATGTTAAACGGCCAATTTACCACTTTACAACTTGCACCGATTTACCGGTTTACAACGACCAATTTAATAAACTTGCATCGAACCCGACTTGAAACGAAATTGACCCTAACCCGTTTTAATAGACTACCTTTCTAATTCTTTAACAATGACAGAGTACGTAATATATATATAGCCACAAAACAAAACAAAACAAAACAATGATCGCGTAATATAGGTACTACATACGTACTCAACATTCAACCTTCCATAATTATGCAAGTATTATAATTATAAATTTATTTATTTTTTTAAAGAAATAATACTCTGTAATTTTATTCAGTTTTACATTAATTGTTTATATACTAATTATAGCTTATTTTGGTGCTAAAAAAACCTACTAAATTGCAATAATAAGAACCTAACAGAAAAAAAGAGCACAAAAAAATTAACAAACTTTATTTCAAACGCGTTACCTCTTCTAATAAATACCTCTCTTGCTCTCTTAACAAATTTTCATCACCCAAAACAATATTAAAAAAAATCTCTTAAACTCCTACCCAAACAAACATGGCTAGTAAATTTGTAACTTTGCTTATTTTCTCTTTTTTACTAGCCATGGTACCAAAAACATGTTTGGGTAAGAAATCCGGCCTTGCAACGTTTAATGCCATTGATGTTTGTTGGCGACGAAACCCTAATTGGATTAATAGTAGGGAAGATATTGCAAAATGCTCAGCGGGTTTTGCAGGTAAAATGTTTAACAACATTGGCAAAGATGTGAACAAATATGTAGTCACTGATCCTAGTGATAATGCAATGAGCCCGAAACCGGGAACTCTTAGGTATGGAGTGACTATGGTACCGGGGAAAGTATGGATCTCATTTCAAAAAGACATGGAGATTAAACTTGAAAGGACTCTTGTTGTTGGTAGTTATACAACCATTGATGGTCGAGGTGCTATCGTTCATATTACTAATGGATGCCTCATGCTATACAAGGTACTTTAATATATACTCTTTTTGCATTTTTGTTTGTTACATGCATGCTAAACTTCAATTATATTATACTACCTCCGTTAAATGTTATGTGCAACTTTGGAATATTTTATATCTCACAAATAATACTCCAAAGATGCACATAACTTTTTACTTACGTTTAAAAAAAAATCAGGTTTGATAAAAATGTATTGATAGATAGTAACTTCCAAGTAAATAACAAGTAAGATCTTCTATTTATTCTAATGAACACATTTTAAAATTCAACTAAACTTCAACAATAACTATAAATGGTAATCATTTTTTAGCTATCATCCAACTATTTGGAATTTAACAGCTTAAATTTTACATGTATACATCATGACTAAATCAAACTTATTTCTTCATGGTATGCTTAGGTTACTAATGTGATCATCCACGGGTTGCGAATTCACCATTGTCGATCCCAACCAGCAGGCTCGGTTATGGGACCTGGTGCAAAGTTGTTGCCAATGAGCAAAATGGACGGTGATGCCATAAGAATGCTTGGCTCAACAAAGGTGTGGATAGACCACAATACCCTCTACAGGAGCGAAGATGGCCTCATCGATGTAACCCTTGGCTCAACCAACATTACCATCTCCAACAACTGGTTTCGCGACCACAACAAGGTCATGCTACTAGGCCATGATGATGATTTCAAGGACGACAAGAACATGAAGGTCACGGTAGTCTACAACCGATTTGGCCCTAACTGCCACCAGCGTATGCCAAGGTCTAGTTAATTCTTATTCTTCTTTGGTGATCATTGCAATTGTGTTACTTTCAAGGTACATTCTAAAAGATTGTGGTATGGTATTGCAGAGTTCGTCATGGTTATGCTCATGTAGCTAACAACTTATATCTAGGATGGGAAGTTTACGCCATTGGAGGAAGCATGAGCCCTAGCATAAAGAGCGAGTCTAACCTCTTTGTCGCGCCTAACTCTGGAACGAAACAGGTAAATTCTTTTGCTCTATTAGAATAGTTTATATATAGACATACAAAATCAATTGTGCTATTAAATTTAGACATATTAACTAAGCAATAGAGCTTTTTTTTTTTTTTGTTAAAGGTTTTAATGGACATGAATGACAAGAGTACTGGAAAAGGGATATGGAACTTTAAATCGGTGGGAGATGTCTTAGAAAATGGAGCTTCTTTCAACGAAACCGGTTCTGGTTTTGTAAAACCAAACTACAACAATGAAGAAAGATTTCCCGTCGAAAGTGGTAGGATTGTAAGGCAACTTACAAGATCAGCTGGGGCTCTACGTTGCCAAGGAGGATCAATCTGCTAAATGGATTCACTTGATTATGTAATTTTTGTTATATGATCATGAAGATCATTTAAGTTTCAGTACAAAATCATGTGAATCATTCATACGAGGGTGTTTATTATCAATGTATGTTAACATGGGTGTTAAATACATGTATGAGATATCAAATATTAATTCAATCAATAAAATTTTGATCCCATAATATTTTCTCTAATTAAGAATAACAGATAACCGGTGGGTACTAAAAGGGCCGGATCCACAAACGCGCCACCGGCCTTTGCCCGAGCCCGGCTAACAGAAGTTTGGGGTTACTAGAGTCTTTCCTAATTCCCTGAAGTCCTCTAACAAAGCTTTACAAAATGAGTGAAACTGTGACAGACTGAAAGAGCTTGTACACCGAAATACTACAAAATCATGTGAATCAATAATTTAAAGGTGTTTGTTTAATAAATACTTCCGTAGATACTACTACCTCCGTTTCATATTATTTGCAACGATTAGACTTTTTTCCTCTCCACTTTATGTCAAATAGTTGCAAATAATATGAAACGGAGGTAATATAAAAAAAAATTTAAGTTTTTATCAAAGTAAATTAATAATCTGCAGTTAGTAAACTTCATTATATTAAAATGGCTGACATTTTTATAGACCATATCATAGAAGTAATTGCAATGTATTTAAATTCAAAAACATAATGGCCTTCAAAAATAAACGAAATGCTTGTAGTTCTCTATTATGAATCAGTGTAAATATTACTCAACAAAAAATGTACATCAGAGAGACAATTGGAAAGCAATAAAATTAATTTTTTTTTCAAGATGATACATGCTGTCTAGTTTACATGCCTGATCATTATCTCAGTGTGAACACGAACAGCCATGCTCCTTTTCGATACTGGCAGAGGTGGTAGTGGCTGTTCTGTAACTCTGTTCCCAGGTATCCACAGGTGCAGCCTGCGAGTGCGGAACATGACAAGGGTGTTTCTCTCTCTTGTCTCCTTTTATTTGCTTCAAACCATGTTTGAGCGCAGGCAACAGTGCTTCCATACATTCAGCCACAGCATTTGGATTACCCGGCATATTGATAATCTGTCTCAGTGAAAAACACGAAGATGCAAAATTAGATAACTTAGAAATATTAGAATACACTTATACAGGACAAATGTCTACCCTGTATATGGTTAGATTACCCATATGATGTGGCATACAATATGATAATCAAACATTTTATACAAAAGTAAATATTGGTGAATATCAATTTCCCACTTAGCTAAGTAAATCATAATTTTAATTGTTTATGTGGATAGATTACCTACCGAGTAAATGCAGCAATCTCTAACTTTTATTGTATTACATGTTTACGAAGGTACTAGACTAGATTATACTTTGTATTAAAGCTAAGTTTAATGCTTTCAGCATAGCATAGGCAAGAAACGGTACTAGAGAAGCAATCACAGATGTGCCCTTTGTACAACATAGCTTGACAAGGGGTACACTCACTTTATTTATACAATATTTGAAGTTGTCATACTTGACAGGAAAAGCACAAGCTTAGTCAAGAAAATTAATCCAAGAACTGCTTTAATTCAATTTGTTATATTGCAAATACTTTTTTCCTTAGGAATGCAAAATTAAGTTTGGACATACCAGTGTAGATCCTCTTATTCCTGCAGCTGAACGCGACAGCATGGCAAATGGCGTCACCTATGAGGAGGAAAACAGAATAGCATACATCTTTATGACTTGGAAATGTAGCAATAGAAAGAACAATAAAACAGAGACCAAGTTACTGTTCTCTGTAAAAGATCATTTTTATGAATAATACTCGAGTAACATGACTAAAAACTAAAAAAAAAATAAAAAAAAAAAATAAATAAACACAAGATAATTGATATGTTGAACTTCTTGTCCACCTCTAGTCGTTGATATCTTCAATTTTGAATGAAGTAGGAATTATAAAACAAATTATGAGGGAGAATTACCTTGAGACTCTCTTGCATCATGACATATAGAAGTCCTGGAGTTTCCTTTTCCACTACATCTTTTGTTGCTTCTGGAGTAACATCCCTAGGGGTGAAACCGGTGCCACCTACATCACAAGTTTTAAACCAAGATATTAACACATAGAAAGAACTTGAAACAAAGACACCAAAAGATTTGATTTCTAGAACAAAATCGGGCTAGTTCATAGAGCAGTGAGAGCACAAATATTTTCAGCAACATTGTTTCTGACCCAAGTTATAGTTTAGCATTAGTTTTTTGGAGGTTGAACATAAAATCATTGATCCACTCACCCCTAGGACCATAGTGCAGCATGAAATTGTTTTAGTAATCATTGGAGTCAGAGAAACAAATTGAAACATTTTTCACGCCATTCAAGTTTAGGTGTTAACTCTTTAACTTTCATATTGTCGAAGGTGACAAAAATAACAGTGCTCTGTGTGTCTTCCACAGTGCATGCCTGGTCACTTGTAAGAAGCATAGCCCCAACTCACCAGCAAGTTTAATTCAGGGTAGACTTTGCATTAGTAGATTTGTTAAAAGAAACGGAGCTATAGACACCAATTCATTTACCTAGTGTGATGATGAGGTCTACTTTATCTACATCACTCCATCTCTTTAAAGCATCCTTAATCTTGGGTACATCATCTGGAACAACAGCAGTTGAAACTACCTTGGCCCCTCCTAGCCTCTCCGATGAAGAATTAATAACAGAAATAGCCCTTGGGCCACTGCAAATACATGAGAATAGAGCATTGATACTTCATATAAGAGAATAAGTAATTATGATTTGAAAAGCAAAACAAAATAATATCAGGGAGCACTGGATATGATCTAAAGCCAATAAAGGGGGTTGATGGCCTTATTCATATCTCCACAACATGGGCATCAACACTTCAACATTACCCTCAATGCCCCTAAGAGGTTTTTGTTCAAGGCAAGGTAAGAAGTAAAGAAGGCTGGGAAATACACATCCTTGCTCTTGATCCAGATGGTAATAATAGAATGATCATCTGCTTCTCGATAGATAAGAAGTGCCCATGTCATCAGTTACATACTTAGAATAGTTGTTATTATTAAGTTATTAAGCATTTGGCTTAATTACATGTGGACAAAGGTAATGGTATCCAGAGTTTATACTTTAACATACTAAATGCCTTATAAGACAAGTACGTACTACATAGGTGCCAAAAACCCAAACAATGTAGCAAAACAGGTGTGCTACCATGTCCCACTCAGACAAGGAGCAACATCATTTTTGCTTTCTTTCTGTAGCATCAATGACGTGACCTATTTTGAAATGATGATTCAAGAAGGCGTATCCAGATGCAACAGCTATATATCTTCATTGGCATGGTTTGAGGGTCAAAATTAACATTTGAAACTCACTAGAGCTGTCAAATGGTAGCATTAATCAAATAAATAGTATTGTAAGGTAATTGTTTAAACAAGTAATAAAATATCAAGGTAGCTGTTGGAAAATAAAATATAAAAAAAAAAAAAGGAATATAAACGATAGTTTATCCACATTTTCACAAAAAGATAGTTTATGAGCATATTCATATCATGAACATGTTTTCCTGAGGTCATCCAACAATTCCACCATGGAAACAAAAAAGCTCATTTTCAAGGAAGCATTTACTCTGCCGATTGCAATACGTTTTGAGATAAAAGTTCATTTTTTATTTATATGTGCTCTTTCTTACGGCCCAGTACAATAAATAAACATGGTGTAACACCAATCATATCAAGAGTCAATTGTTAAAGGCATTGGATGAGCCAAAAAAATTGAGAAGAAATGTATAATGTGACTGAAAGAGTGCCACCTGCATTAAATGTTTAGCTAACCTTGCATGCATATGAATTGTGAATTACTCTATCCAATTCAATTGGCTGAAAGAGAACCTCACTAAGGCTTGTATATAAGCATGTACTCTATTCTAGTTGAGTGTAGTTAGAAATTAAAGTCATTGATTGTCTCTTTCATTCAATGGTTACCCATATTGTGCTTCCTTTTTTTCAAGGAAATGTTCCACTCAAAATACCTTTGTAAATCAAAATTGAAACAGAGCCTTTATCTTGCTTACCTACGATCAGGCCCAGCCCCTGATGCGACTGTATCACTAACTGTCAGAATAGCAACTCGAACATCATCATTTGGGGAGTTGCTCATAGTTGTTTCAATAGGTGAACTCCGTATTGATGAATCTTTTTTCATAGTAGAGCTCAGTTCTGAAATAACAATTGCAGATACGGATGTTCCAGCAGGAAGCAAGGTGCCTCCAACTGGAAGCTCCAGCAGCGCATTTGCTGACTTCATACTTAAAAGACGACTGCTCATCTGTCGACCAGTGCTCTCAGCAACAAAACTAAAATTCACAGAAAGAACACATTATTAAACTTTTAAGAAATTTCTTAAGCTATAAACTGAATGCAATTTTATGAACAGACTCTCATTTGTAACTTTTAAAGACTCGAAATGGAGAGCAGTAACTTAGGGAAGGAGAATAAAGGAAGTAGCTAAAGGGAAAGAATAATAATAATAATTAAAAAAAAAAAAAAAAAAAAAGTAAATTGGAAAGAGGAATCATCTTTAAGGGAGGGACCGAATATTACCCAGGCTTCCCTGATCCATCATTTTCCTTCCAAGTAACAATCGCACGGTGAAATTCAGGACGGGCAGGGTCTGTTTTGATGGGCTGCACAAGGCGGGCATGAACCCTATACATGAAACAAAGCATGCAGATGGCTTGAGGCGCATTCAAGTGATCCCAAAAAAATATCAAGAAGGATTAAATAAAACATGATATAGAATAAAGAAAGGCAAAATCAAATTTAGAAACAAAGAGTATTAGTAACCTCAGAACATCAGAGTTAGTCTGTCCAGAGAGAAAACGTATGGTAGGCACCACAAAGAGGTGGAAACAGACTAAACAGCTAACAGGATTTCCAGGCAAACCAAAGGCCAGAACTTTATTAACATTCACATTTTGAGTTGGCTTCAAATTGATCTCAGCAAATGTCAATGGCTTCCCTGGCTTCATAAGAACCTAAAGCATCCAAAGCTATACTACAAAATCAGTATGAATAAAACAAAAATACATTAATAAATGCCAGCATGTTCTGTGATCTTTAATCTACTATTCAGGATAGAAGTGCAAAAACATAAATATATCATAATTCACACAGCATTAGAGCAACTTGTTTTATCATTTTATCATGAGCTCATGGATCTTAAAACAAGTAATTAACCTTAGAATATACGATTCAAAGGCAACTATAGTCACCTACTTACCTTGCTGAAATGCACTATTCCCTTCTTCTCAAGCAATGGTTTCACATAATCTCGGTCTCCCATAGAAACACCACCAGATGTTAAAATTATGTCCACTCCATCAGAAAAGGCCTTGTCCATGATTTTCTCAAGCTCCACTTCATCATCACGAGCAATTCCAAGGTCTACAATACTGCAACTCTGTTGTACAGCAGCTGCTAGCAGCATAGCACGGTTGGAGTCCCTAATCTACAATGAGACATAGTATATATTTTC